CCCCAACCTCGCCCCTGCCCCCCACAACCCCCCCCCGCCGCACCGAGCTCTACGCCCTCATTGACATCGAGCGCACCGCCGCCATGTCCAACCTGCAGAAGGCGCGGCCGCGAGACGACGGCACGTCACGCAAGACGCGACACAACAGCACGGAGCTGCCCACCAAAAGCACCGTGTGACCCTCCCCCCACTTCCTGTTAACACGGCGCTCGGACGTCTTTATATTCCCACGGAGACGCGGTGACAGACTTATTGACTTCCTGTGAGGTCACCTGTGCAGGTGTATTTCCTGTGCTACCTCTGCTGGTCGCAGACTGCGTTCCTCCTGTATGGTACAGATCAGTATTACTGAACAAAGCATTCCATTTAGCCTTTATATGATCACTGCGAGCTGCTGTCTGATGGTACAGTCTGTACGTGGAGTCTGGCTGCACAATAAATGTCTGTTTTTATTTGTACTCTGTGACCTCTGCCTCGTTCATCTACAGTCTGCTAATATAGTTTCACTGTGTCTGTAGCCACAAGTCTTAATGCTAAGCTAACAGTGCGTTAGTGTCAATTATAAATGTAGAACTTTTCCTTTAAATCAGAGTATAAAGGTGCTGCAGGTAAAAACAGAATTTAATCTTTTTATTAAATAGAGCAGCTGTAGACCGAACTCACTGCGGGATCCGTTATTCTCTGGCTGCTGATTGGTCAACAGTTTTACATAGCAGACCTGGTCCACTTTCAGCTTCTTGTTGTTACAACTGTGGGTCATGCAGCGTTCACAGGTTCATCAGTTCAATCCCCAAAGTCCTCGAACTGAGTCCCAGAACTACTAATAATCCTTTTTCACCTGAAAGAGTTGAGCAAACTCAGGTGTTACCAGTGGATTGAAGCCCTGCTACACCCGAGTTTACCTGACTGTTTCATGTGAAAAAGGTCTGTTCACCCAGACTCAGAAACAACCAACGACACAGTGGATGAAATGAAAAACAAACTTTAATGTGATCACAATTTACAGCTCTGATACAAAAACAGTTTATTATAAAAGAAGCTGTTTGAACGACGCTGAATATTTACAAGTTCAACAAACGTACAAAAATATCAATGTCAGGTGA